TGACCGTTCTACAACCATTAACAAGCTTCAGTACACCGTTTTTAGGCGTGCAGTTAGGTGTCAAGCCTGTGAATTTACCTAATGTTTTCAGCCTCATCGAATTAAGCCTGAGGTACACTAGTTACTGAACGTTCACAGTACGATTTGCATCGTGGATTTCGAAGCCGAAAGTTCTCTTCGTATGAATAATCCCAAGCTTCTGTAGCTGAAAAGCCGGACATCAGCTCTCCGAAACTCATGTTGCCGCAATGACTTCATCGGGATATATGCAAACGCTAGCGTACCTGCAACTCTCTCTCGTTTTGTTCGAGTAGCACCCGCTCTATATGCAACAAGAAGAAGGAAATCAGACCCTTATACCCGACTAAAGTATTTTCCTTGGGCGAGGCAGCACCGCTCCAATTACAAGTGGCACAGATGAAGACGCCAAGACCAGGGTCGGAGAAGCAAGACAGGCCTTCGTTAATCTGAAACAGGTGTCGAGATCTACTTCACTGCACTCAGCATAAAGAACAAGATTCGAACTTTCAACACTAATTCAGTCAAGTCAGTGTTTCTGTATGGCTCAGAAACTTGGCGCGTTACGAAAAGCATTTCAATAAACTGCAGACATTCATCGGTAGCTGCCGCCTACACTCACTGGATACTGAAGATCAGATGGCCATAACAATAAGAATAAGGAACGACGAACTCTGGCAGGGCAACGAACCAACCAAGAACCCGTCACCCAACAAATATGCAGTAGAAAGTGGAGACGGATTGAATTGGACGTACACTGAGAAGACTGCTTAGGGGCATCACGCGTCAGACCAGGCCCATGAGCTGAATCCGAAAGGGGACCGACGAGTTTGGCGTCCGAGGTGAGGGTGACATGGAGGAGATGGTGTGAGGAAGAAATGAGAACTTCTTGGAAGTCATGGAGGGAGGTTGAAAAGACCGCAGAGAAGAGGGCGGAATGGCAAAATTCACTTTTTGGGATACTGCCTTCGCTGTACCAATCGTAAAATGTGGTTGGCTTGGTTGCTGTCTTGGAAAAAGGCATGAGTTCTATTTAAATGTTTATAGCTTCATTAAACTTTTGTACACAGGTTTTTAACAGAAACGAATACCGGGTCCAAAACCCTCTAATCTCTCCATTTCATGGTGCCACCTTCGGCTTCAGTTTAGTTTCCCCTACTTTCGCATGCACCTTGATCTTCTTCCCCATAAGCTTGCCTCTAAACAGTAGGTTTTGGATACCCCTTCAAGCAACTTTTGCAGTCAGTACAATGACTTCGCCTACATGCATCATGGTTGATCTACTCCTGCGTAGTATTTTTGTGCTCCTGCTTCGAATTTCGCCTGCTGCTTGCTTTTTTCATTCATTCTCCAGGTTTGCCTAACCAGTCCTTTATCCATATGGAATCCCAACAGTCGCGTTTGTCAGTGTGCACCGCGCCATCTAAACCTTATGACGAAGGTACACACCCCAAGGTCGTGACTGTACTACCTGCCCCACCTTCAAGAATATTGGAAGATTCAAACAATAGCTGAACAATTCCCAATTTCGAAGTTACCTTGCTTCAGCAAGATGAACAATTATGCCGGTGTTTTTTGTGTTTCATTTATTAGTGTCTGCGAGGTATTTACGTTCCTTCTCTGGGCGCACATCTTGTATGTCATGGATAACGGTATCTAATGTATAGCTTAAAATCGTAAACAACAATCATTTCTCATTACCAAAATGATCACACCTGTAAACTTATGCATGAAGTATGTATTATTATTATCATCATCAGCGCTTTACCGGTTAAATACCATATTTTAATCTGCTGTCACCGCTTACTATGAAAAAATCCTGAAAAAAATTGTCGAAGTCACAAAAATGTCTTTTGTTTACCCATGGTCAAATTATATAGGACGACAGCCAATGATGAATTGCAATTTTATGTTAGGTATGTTATGTTAGGTAGTTTGCACATTCAAGACATGGAGATTCTTGTCTTGGCAGGAGTTGAGACGCTAGTTGTCCGGCTTGATAACAAGTTTGAATGACTTTTACTTCCACTTAAGCTAAGTCATTCGTCTTTGCTGGGGGAAAGTGTATACTCTCCAAATTACATCTGTTTTTTGGCAATGAACCTCTTAATTTTCCGAATAAACTCTGCCTTGATGTCATTGGTTTGAGTGCTGCAGCAATCTTGGGGGTGATGAGGCAGTCTACTAACTACATCTGAACGGTTCGCTTTCCGGAACTCGGGCAGCTCCATATTCCAAAGATAGACATTTCCCGATCAAGTAAAGCAGAAGACAGCCGATGTCTTTCTGATTTCTGCAATGCTCTATTGCCGCAATAGGCTGTAGCTGTAGAAGTTATCTCCACCCAACACCTTATATCAGCTGTAAGGTGACATTTTTTATACTTCAAAAGCTGTCGCCTGGAGTCTGGCCGTCCTTTGAGCTATATTTTTGATTCATTTTCGGGTTACCTCTTGTTTTAACCTTTTCGAAAGTAAACCGATAAGCGCTGCATGACATGTAAAAAGTAGGGAACGAATTTTGGACATTCATGAAGCTGATTCGTAGCCCCACACTTTGTCTTTGTCCCTTAACCACTAATGTGACCAATTTTCGACGGATTTCTTTCGTTGGCAAAAGTGTGTATTTATTTATTGCCTCAATAGGTTCGGTTACCTCAGGAATCTTATGCATTCCCGGTCGTTCCAGGCCATTTTAAGATATCCAGTACTATGGGAGGTATGTTATCTTATTTTCATTGCCTTGAAAAAGGGGCAGCAAAAGTAATACCCCTGCCCTTAACAATTTCAGCGTCCAAGATAATATATGATTATAATCGCATCCATGATTCGCCTGAAGAAAAGATGCCCTGCCCTCAAAAGCAGCTTCTTACGCCAGGAAATACCGGGACGTCTTATCTGATTAGATCAGACTTTTAATCCTTCTTCGTAGGCACCCACGTTTAACCTTATACGTATGACGCACATGAACTCTTGGTACACCTATTGACAATTTAATCATATTCCCGAGGCTCAGCCTCTCTGCTCGCCTGAATTAAAGGATAGCGATGGGGCGAAAATCTACGTCACACTGAACCACAGCTTTCATAATCGTATTTCCAATAAGTTTCCTATTAGCTTTCTGGTTTACGGTGCTGCTAATTGAGAAATAACAAAAATAGTGTATTTCTAGATGAGCCTGTTTTTCCTACGTCCCTGCCCCCTTAAAAGCCAGACCACCAGAACAAGCAGAAATTCCGGCGGGGTCAGCACATGAGAAAGTAAATCGACTAAAACACATACTTTCATGTCCCTCATCAGCAAAAACAAGTTTCGGAATGAACATCTCCTTATTCAACCCCTTTTGGCAAGACCTACATAGCTCTAGTTTAATTACCTCCACCAATCACTGAACTGCACTGTACATCGAACAGTTAGGCTACAGGGGATGAGGCGGTTGGCATATTTTCAAATTTATACATTCTTACACCCCAAAAGAATGCCCATCCTAAGTGGGTGTTCCAGAAGTGCAACTGGTTCTAAACCAGCAAGATCACGGAGGCTGACCATGTATGGCAGCAAACGGCTTTCATCCCACGCCCCTTCTCATGCATCTCTACCAATTAACCAGGCACTGAATGGTCTTTCATAAAATATAAAGATATATAGATCCTCAAATGATACTCTTTTGCTTCCCCCAGCTGGTTCCCTTCCGTGAATCCGTTCAAGCGTACTTTCAGATGAGGTCCTTCCTCTGCTTGCCCTGAAAACTGCTGGTCGCGACTCGAAGTTCAAATTCACTGTTTTGTAGCTGATAAATTCTGGAGTTTTGGGTCTCTGAGATTCAAGTGCATAGGAATAGCAATCCCAGCTGAGTTCACTTAGGAGAACACAGCTGGAATCAAGTTATAATGCGGTACACCACTTTCACCAGCTCCGCCTTCACCTTTTCTATCGTTACTAAGTCCCATGTTTTACAGTGTTGCTAAGAAGTTAATGGACCAAGTCGGCACCCCAATAACCTGTCCCTACAGTGGTGTGATAATACCTCAGTGTCAAATATTTGAAAATCAGTGTTCACCTGGGCTCACACTAAAACCCATACTGCAAGAAGAATTTAGGGTATTGTGGGAGAAGACCCTAATGCTACGGCCTAATTTGTGGAGTGAAATATTGCACATATATGAATTTTAGGGGTTCCTGCACTGAAATCTCAGCCGAATTGATTATGAACGCCCGGATTCTAACCCCACAGTATACATCCAGGGTGTTATAAGACTCACTGTTAATCACTTTACGCAGGAAACAGTGGATACAAAGCAACCCCACACACCCATTTTATAGTATTGTAATGCGAAACAAGATCAGCATGCTTATGTAAACAAATTGGATGAAACCAAACAAAACAAATCATCAGTATATCTGATTTCACAACTTGGATAAAACCAGCACTCGCAAAACTTCCAGTCGTCATTTAATGCTGGCTCTGATGTCTGATCCTAGTATTCCGTTGGCTATGCAGAATCAGATTTAGGATGGTAGTTAGCAGTTGCTATAGACCATAACTATCTTTATGTCCCATTTAACCCTCAGTAAAACTGGCTATATATTTCTTGCCAGCATCCCTGAGTAGCAATAGCTGGAATTGGGCATTAGTCTACGGAGCACCTGGTATGAGCACACAAATTCGGTCGAATGCACTGAAATGAAGAAAACGCAATAGGAAACCTCATACAATACAGCTTTAGTCCCTTGTGTAAGGTCATCAAGAAGTGAACACCTGTTAGGAATATATACTGGAGGCACATATAGGTCATTATATAGCGACGAGAAAAGCCTTATTGCAGTTCTATGCACATGCAGGCATAATATGAAAACCTATTTGCAATAATATTAAAGTGTTACCATGCATGCATGCTTGAGAGTTCACTCGACTAGAAACCACTGAATCAATAGGTATTACCGAGATATAAAGCTCTGTCATCACTTTTTACTAACATGAAGGGGTGATTCAAGGTAACTATCTTTTGTTTCAACCTTTAAACAGGTCATAACGCGCAATTTAAGAAAAATGTCTTCAATGGCGGAGGATCCTCAGCTAGACCTTTTAAGCCATAAGTTGCAACTTCAACAGGTATTAGTTGTTAGTCCTATTATCAGTGTTGCTTAGGTTGAAGCGGCTCTTGAGCTAGACCGAGATAATGAAGACCTTCTACATCTTAAACGGGATCTGGAGGAAGTAATTAAATTGTCGCTCGAATTGTTGGGTAAATCAGCTGATACTCCGGAGGTAGCATGGAATGTGGGCGATCAGTGCATGGCCATGTGTTCTCGGGACAAATTGTATGTTTGTTTGGTTTTCTGAATCATGCTGTAGATATTACCGTGCTACAATTCTCGAGTTCCTTGGGGATACCAGTTGTGTGGTAAATTTCGATATGTACGATACTACAGATGTGTGTCAGGTGAGTCCCCGTGATTCTCGTGTGTTTTGTTTATACATACCTAAGTGGTAAAAATTAGGTAAGGAGCGAGTGGTGTGTCCGCTCACTAGATAACTGAGTGAGTCTAGTGTTTCCTGCCTAAACAAGTTTTTGCCTCATCCAGTAATCTGTAGTTATATCACTTTTATAAATTAAATGCGACTTATTTAACTCGTTAAGGTTATTTCATTTCAGTTAGAAAATAGCTGTATGCCTTAAGATTGGTTTATTTTACCGTCTTACCACTTGCGGCTGCCGTTGAATTTTTGTATGTATTCAAGCGCGAGACGTTTGGGACTTTGAATCCGTTCATTTGATAATTGGGGATATTCACAATCTACGACTGCTGGTGAGATTTACCGTGAGTGAATATTTCGGTTTAACAAAACCTGCTGAGATGTTTGTCTTGATGTAGTTCACTTTCCCTCCGTTTCTGATTGACGTTGTAAACATATTTTCCTTTCAGCTCTGCCACCTTAAACCTGTCACTACGGTCACACCAGTTGTAAAAAGAAAAAGTAAGTTCGAATCTCGTCAAATTTTATTTGTAGGCATGACACAAAAAATCGAGCTATCGAGAAAAAAAAGATAAAAAAACAACGCATTCTTCAGAAGGAGGAAGAGATTGAGTCGTTTTGTGAGAAGGAAAAAAACCGATGGCTTACTTTCAGCAAAAAGATGATCAAGACAGGAAAGACTAAAAAAAGCATATTTGCTTCTCCCGAGGCTTTGGACGGCCGCGTGGGCGTTGGAACTTGTGGCATTGGTGGGAAACCAATGACGAAATATACTATCTTGAGTAATACCGCCAAAAAACAATGAGTTTGTGGGCTTTGTACATAATGTAAATATATCAACTTCCTTTACTTAACGTGATCGTTTTGATGTTGGTGTCTATTGTTGCGCATCACGCCCATCAGGTATTATCTGGAGGTTTATCAGTGGTTACTTTGTTCATATGCCTGTCCGTTACTTGCACTTCTGACAGGTTTAAGTTCACATGTTTTAACCCAGGTATGATGGCTGCATATGCGAGTTAGCCGTGTTTATTTCAAAATTTTGAAAGTTCGTATCATGGTATGCACAAGTCAGTTAACCGTCGTTAGTCATTTTTAGCCTTTGTCCTAATCTATTCTCACTCCGCGTGTTGTTGCGTAGTCCGATATAATCAGCGCTGTACATCGAACAGTAGTTCATCGGCTCAGTTCTAACACTTTACAACAGGATGCAAAAGGCGAGTGGATAAAATGGTTTTACCCTAGTGTGTGTGGGGATATTTGAAAATGAAACTTTTCAAGAATGTTAAAACAGATCTTGTCAAAGAGTGAATAAACCTGCATCATTGTGACTCGCTAGTATTATCCAGCCATTTTATCGGCATTCCGCAACGCTACGTAATGTAGACTAGCGGCCGGGGGCGTCATGAACTGGCATCACCACTTTGAGCCTGCTTTCAGCGTGGTCCTACTTTTAGTAATGTAACAAATCGAGGTGTTGGTTCGACTTGCTTAAGTCGGTGTGTTCACAACCTCATCAGCTAAATTGCCTGGTACCCTCCGCATAACCTCTACATTGCATACATGGTGATTCTGCTGTACCTGAGGAGACGCTTATAATTACAAACCTGCGGATCCTTCCTATCTGTTTTCAGTGGCAACATGCTAGGACATGGCAGACTTAAACGGCATGCTCTCCCACGAATAGGTAGTCGTATATCGCCGGTGCCAGGAATGATGTGAGTTGGTTGGTTTCTATTTGAGCTGAGGGTTTGTCAGCCAAAAACCCATTTGAACTGATGCGGCTCCCCTAGTTGTCGGCCATTTCACTCCTTATCGTTAAACTAGCAGGACAGTCCTGAAGCATGATCTTACAGTTGATATATGCAGAACGCGTCCCAAACTTCGATTCCTTTTTCAGCCGTACCGAAAACTCACTTTATCTATCTTCCCTTAACACGATTGTGTCGTTTGTGTAGTCTAAGTCAACCAAGTGTCAGTCAAGTAGGTTAGTCCGTGCAGAATCGAAAATACCCAGGTTTTTGCTGTATAATGCGTTTTTAATCAGGTTTAAAAAAAAACGGTAATAGCGTGTCCCTGGTGGACACCACTGGCTGTTGATGTTCCAAACATTTCTCTGTAATCCTCCACGCGACTGTGCGAATTCTGGTAAAAAGCTTTGTTGAGCACTATCTACCTGCTCGGCACAACCTTCACATTCAGACACTACAACAACATTTTCAGTCGACGGAGTAGATTTTCATTTTCGGCTCGATAAATATGGCAAGTGTTGAGTGGCTGTAGGTGTGTGTATTCCAGAACATTTCGGAAGGCGGAGATCGGATCCAAGAACTCCAGTTCAGGTTTGAAACCTACATGGTATTCTCGAGTTTGTTGTTGAGCGCTGTTTTGGCGTTATCTAACTATGAACTCTAGGATACTCGGCACGTTAGACTGGTCACTATGGTTGTCACGAAAAGACCTCTCCTTTCTTATGAACTGGAATGACTAGTGATCGAGACCAGTCTGATAGGAATACGCTGGATTCCTGTAGAATGATTAGTACGTGCATCCATGGAAAGCCTCTGTAGTAAAAGCGTCAGTTCCTGTTGCTTTGCATAGTTCCAGATTTGAAATTGTATTCTCAACTTCGAGTAAAGTTGGAGGATAGACGTCTATGTCTTATTCAGTTCCGGATTGCGTACTGAGTAACTGAAGTAAGGCTGGTCGTGGTTGGAGACTAGGTGCTGTGGCTCAGAACCAATGTCAGTGGCGCAGATGTGTACACACATTATCCTCAACTTGACATGATGCTGAATCTCACCATTTTCTCATTCTTCATCTTCACTGCACTTGTACTGATATGAGCTGTGGCAAATCGGACTGTTACGCAGTAATGCCTGGTTCTATGTTGATTTGGATGAAGTTAGGCTGTAAGCCAGTTGAACTGTCCTCCAAAGTGTTTTGTCATGCCTCCTAGCCACACATCTGGATAGGTCATCCACGATGAACGTTTTCTTTTTGCCAATATACTTCATTCACGTAAATACCTCCAACTCTTTCAAAATAGCTACCCACTGCTGGTCGTAATCATTGTGAATTTGCGTTCACATCGCTCTCATTTCTCATTGTGATCAAAGCCATTAGGAGTGTGCCCTACATCGAGCAGTTTGGATAAGGTTGTGGAATTCCCTTGCCTTCTACTTGCCTGTGGGTGTAAGTTACTAACTTTCTTTAGAACTGTTTCGAAAGCAGAACAATATTACACCAGGTTTCCTCAGGAAGAGAATTGTTGTCACGTTCAGATATGCTTAGGTTATTTTTTTCCTAAATACTTGATGTTCTCATCTTCTAATGGACCACACATAAGTATAACTACTGTCAGTTTCTGCCAGTAGTAAGGGTCAGACGTACACGCCCCTGTACCAACGAGTGACGAGTCCAAACATGTACTCCAGAAAGAGTGGCAATCCTCCAACGCTGGTCTATCTGCGTGAATGATTAGTTTAATATTAGTCGGTGCCAAGTGAGACTGTCTCTTGCCAGAAACAAGTGGTTGTGAGATCGAAATTGCAACAGGTGATCACCTTTATTGAATTCTTAGCATGGGATACCGCAGTTACCTCAAAGATTCCTCTGACTGACTCAGATTTCCTACTTGGTTGTTGAAATTGCCTGCTTTCATGGCTATCTGGACGTTTTACTTGACGTAGCAAAACTGACAGTTTTTGATAGAATTCATCAATTGCAATATCCCTGCTCAAGTTTATGGGTGCGTGTTGCAAAGACGTAACACACATAGTTATGTGGTCCAGAGTTTTGGCAGTCGATACGTGCTGTCTGGCCTGGGGCTCGAACTTTAAGAGTTGCAATGTTAAATTTGTAGTATGGTTTAGGGGGACTCCGAGGGGTGTTTTGGTGCGTTGGGGTCGTTAGCAATGGTAGCGGGATGATAGGTTTATAAGGTTGTAAGAGGCTTTATTTGGTCTCAGAAAATGAAGACAGGGCGTGTGGAAAGCGTGTTAAGTGGGTTGTGATTAGTTGAATTTTGAGTACTGCTCGGAACACTGTTATTTCTGCATGGGGGGTGAGATGGAACAGAAAATATATAACTGATAGACTTGAGTAGTAAGAAAACAGGTTGATCTGTAGATTTCTCCATTCTGATCACATTGATCTAAAAAACGAACGAGCGTCTGCTGTCTAGGTCATCAATGATGTACCCGAAGAAATCCAGCTCAGAAAGCTGAGTTATGAAGACCACACGAGTCTGGCTAGCACAAACCGGTACACCTTAACTAGGATGGTCAGTTTGCAAATTGTACGGTCCACTTTGACTTTCCTCACAGCTGAGTAGTTTTTCAACTACCTATCTGTGATATCAACAGGGCTTTCGTTAGAAATCGTCCACCGTGACCACAAGTTGTGATCTGTGACACAAAAGTATTATGAACTAATGAGATATACTACTGAACAACTCTTGTATACTCAGCGCGCCACTGATGAGGTAGGCCTCAAACAATCGAGACAGCCGTCCGGTAGTTAACTCGCTTTGATCTAGCTGGCAAAATCTAATGATCAGCTTGAGTATTTTCTAACTAGTGAAGTTGATCAGTAGCATAATTCGTTAACTCACGTCAGAAGTCGCGCTAATTGGTTTTGGCAGGTGGCTCCTAAAAAAACTTTGTTGGCACCACAGTTGGGCAACTGGAAAACTACTCAGTTCTGAGAAATGTCAGTGTGCGTCGTGCTATTCGTAAATCACTCGCATATTGATCATCGGAAGTAGTAAAGGTATTGGTTTCGCTTGACTGTATAACCCGTGTGACGTCTGCTTGAGGTGACACGATTTCTCCCCAGGAGTGCTGGGTTGCGACTTAATCGTGCTGACACCGGAGAAGGAAAGCCCATACCGCCTGCATTGGATACTGTACAGCAAAGGAGTGCTGTTTTTTTGGGATGGGGGGCAACTTTTTCGAACTTCCTTCCACGATAAGTCAGTCAATATCGACATGGAAGCTGGCAGCACTGCGTAATGATCCAAGTTGTCACACTTCGTCAACGCATCGAGCAAGAATACAACAATGTGATAGAGATATCAGGAAAAAAGTAGTCAAAAGTTGTGGGAACTCACGAAAAGTGGGCATAGAAAAGTGAGGAATTAGTTGTATTCAGTACGTCGGTTAATATGAAGATAATGTAAGGATATGTTTGCAACACTTACCAGTTCTGAAGCTTATAATTTGTAGCATCCTACGACCAGATTGCTGCGTGGTCTTCAACCGGTATGTCCACCACACGGCTCACAGACCTGAAACCTCATACCGTCTACATCTTAGTGACCGTTTCTTCGAGTAAAGTAGTAGATAAAAGCAAACTGCTGTACAATGGACTTGGTGCTTGATAGATCAACGCATATCCCGGCAGCACCACAAATGAAGCTAGTTGGTGAAAACCAACCGAACCTTTTGTTTCTGTGTAGAGACAGCTAGTACTGGGTAGCCTTAAGTGTATCTAAATTCTAAAGCTTGACAGTGTCAAATTCTGGCCCATGCACACTGTCGATGGGTTTGTATCCCAGCTCCATCTATGGAGGTTCGGACTGCCAAATAGTATCATTGGCCGCTACACATCAAGTTTGGCTTATTACCTACTGTGGAAATGTTCACAAGGTTGCCTATAGAATTTCGATCTTCAGTACACACACGATTACATCAGAAACCTGTCTGGTCTTATCGGGTTGTTGTTCCCTTGCTGCACTTAGTCTTATGATTACTGAGCCTAAAATAGAGGCACAATGTACATCAGATTGACTCTTATAGTTGTCGCAGGACGATTCCCCTTTTTGAAACTAACATTGAGTTGTTCAAACC